TACCCCACGGCATTTCATTCCTATACTCACTACTACAAAGGGAGACCCCGACGGAAACTCCTGCCTTCAAGGGCAAATGGGAAACCGCACTGGGGAGGACTTTTACCGAGACAGAGTGGGAAAAAATATGCTACCTCACACACCACTGTTCTACCTTCACCAAGACACAAGAGACGGCATTCAAACTGCTGAGCCACTGGTACCGCACCCCAAATATGCTACACGCAATAGACCCCTCACGCTCCGACTTATGCTGGAGGTGTGGAGAAGCAAAGGGCACTACACTACACCTATGGTGGGAATGCCACAGAATGAAACCATTCTGGATGGGCATACACAATATCCTAGGAAAATTCTCAGACGCACCACCACCACTAGAGCCAGCAGCAATGCTCCTACACCACACGACCGTACCCAGATCTCGATATAAGAAGTCCATGACCATTAGAATCCTTAATGTGGCCAAACAGGTTATACCTCAATGCTGGAGACAAGATAAGACCCCTCCTCTCAGGACATGGTTCGTCCAAATGGAAGAGTTCAGGGCGATAGAAGAAATACACTCGGGGGTGACTAACACCACCGTAAAATACATGGAGACCTGGACACACTGGATTGTAACCACCACACAGGCAGATTTCGCTGCCAGACTAGACACAACCCCACCTGACAGAACTGACGCACATGACTGACCCCGCCATCCCTGCCCCACCCATTCACCCGCACCACCCGCAGCCTCCCACCCCTCCCTCCTCTGTCCTCTCCCCCGCATACCCCCCTTCCCCCTCCTTCCCACAAATCTCACTTGGGCCGCCGGCCCACACCCCAAAGAAACTATAACATTCTTAACCACCTGGCAGTGGACTCATGAGTCCAACAGACATATACCATATGAAGCCTGCGGTGACTTACGGATCGCCGACACAGTACTAACCCATCACCTCCCTCACTAAACGAGATGAGACTGCACACAGAAAGGACCTAGGTGTCCTACCGGACACTAAGTGGGAGGCAGCGAACAAACAAACCAGGGGGAACACGCAAAAATAACAATAGATACCTAACTACCGTATTGCTGAACAGGGACCTGCGCGTCCATCATTGAAGTGGGCCTGCGAGCCCGAATACTTACTTGTTTTCATTCGTCTTCTGGCACATGTTGTACTTTAGTTACAATATGCTTGAAGAGACCTGTGAGTCTCACTGTGAAAGTACAAGACAAAAATATATTTACAAAAAAATTAAAATAAATAATGTATCCAAATCCACATTAAGTGGTGGGATTTTTTTAAAAAGTGAGGGAGCAATTTTATTCCAATTTCCTAGATCTTCCTGTACCACGTCCATAGATCTTTGTGTGAGTTGGATATTGGCTCTTATGACCTCTTTGCCCACTTTCATGGAGCCATAGGTAAGATTAACACACCATCCTGTTGGGGGTACCCTACATTGTATTGTTTGCTGCCACAGAACTGAAGATACTCCCAGTGCGCAGATCGTGGGACCCTGTCCGTGCACCACTCTTTTCCAACCATTTATGGGTTTGTGAAGGTGAACAGGGCAGCTCCCTGAGTTTTCCACCATGCACCCATCTGTATGGACTAGTGGTTCTAGTACACAGGAACAAAGCCAAGCATTACCACGTCTGTCACAGCAACTGGGGTTGATAACTTTCCAGAACTGGTCTTCTTTTATTACTAAGCGAGTTTGTGGAAGGAATTGCTTTAAAACATTAGTGCGATTAGCCACTTCCAACTCACCAAACATAGTCATCTTATAAACAGGTACAGGCTGTTCTGTCCAAACTGGAATGTCAATTATTAATGGAATTACCTTTTTTCCTAATTTGCACTTATTGCACCAACTCTGCAGACCTTTAATTTTGGAAAGGACTACATTCTGACAATCTATGCCAAATTCCCTAACCAGATCAAAGACTAGGGTAGAATTGATTATTCTGGGTCATTCCCCTCGTTTTATTTCTTGGAGGCCTAAATTTAGATGTTCGTCTAGTAAATTTCCAACTATACCACATACCATAGCTTTAGATACATTATTGTTATTAACTGATTCTCTGAGAGCATTCACAGATATATTAATCCACTGCAAATCTGCAGCAACTGTGTGAATGTTCTGTATCGTGACATCAGTTTCAGCTAGAGTGTTAAAATTCACTCGTCCCTCTTTAAGCAGAATTTGCTGCAACCCATTAACATAAGTTTGTTCTCGTGAGTTAAGACTCTATGTTTGCCCGATTTCAGATTGATGTTCCTGAATCCTGAGATTATATCAGTACCCAGATCCCTTTTTTCTCTCTCTCTAAACTTGAGCCCTTGTGTTACATCCCAGAATAGATTAATATGTGCTTGAAATACATTTTGAAACCATTATTTCATCATCTCTGGGCAACTCTCTGGTATATTAAATAATGAAAAATTTAACAATAATGTTAATGTTACATAAGACACATCAGTATACACAACAGTTTGTGTTGGTTGTAAGAAAAGGCAATGCTCTGGCCACAGGGTGGTAGTTAGACAGTCCTGAGAATTTATAATTCTTATGTTAATTGTTGGGTCAACTGTATTACCTAATCCAGTCTGATGGGGGTTGCATGTTACAACACCATCCTGGGAAAATGTAAAATTTCTTTCCAGCGGCATCTTTATCCTCACTTCCTTTGTGGTATTGGCCCAAAATATACTTGTACTCTTATGTAAGTCACTTCCTGTAGAATATTGCATATTCTAGGTTTCTATTGATTATATATATGGATGTGTGGATTGACATAAGTAACAGATGGTATCAATAAGTCAGAAGGCTTTCTTTGTCCGAGAGATCTGGAATGTGGATGTGGGGGTCTTGTCCTTATATGGCTAGAGTTAAATGCTGACGTTAGTATTAGCACATCTTTATAGTAACAGAGGGACACGAGGTCGCTCTGTCTTAGCTTGGCTCTGTACAACGATGTAACTCTCCCATCAGAAGTACAGCAATAACCATCTGCTGTTGAATGTCTACTATCCTGTAACATCCTTTATTATGTTTTATTATGTATCCGTACCAAAGAATAAACCTGAAGAAACCGTAAGTCAGATTGCGTATTACTACTTTTCAATAATATAGACATATATTATTGTGGCGAGCATTTGGCCCAAGAATATATATACAAAAGACGTATATATATATATCAATCAACTGAAGACAAGAAGAAATTAAGAAGATTCTATATTAACACCGTTTCAAAATTACATTTTACATTGGCCAGCCAGACAGTCTTCTATTCAAGTTTTGTTCCCACTTCAAGGGGGGAGAGAGAAGAATCGAGTTACAAAGCTATTTTGGAACTGGGAAAACACACTTGAAGAGAAAAAAAAAGAATCTAGACTGACTATCATAGAACTGTGGTTTGTAAGAAAAAGAAAGTTTTCAAATCACAAAGACTGTACAAGACTATTTTCTACAACTGAGACAAAAAGCACAAGATACAACATGAATTCTAGAAGCAAGCATGTGGCAGAGATTGGCAATCATCCAGCCCAGAACTACGCAGCTGTGTGGTTGAAGCAACGAAATAGACAGAGATAACTGATCTGGTAAGTAACATGGAATTCATAAACGATATTGCAGAGAAAAGTAAATTGCAGTTTGCATTTAATAGCAGCTATTCAGATGCTGTTTTGTGGCAATCTTTATACACACAATGTGAAATTGCCAATAGTGAAATTGACAAGAAATTGTTTGTTAATAAGAAAAAACAAAATATCAGAAGTGTTATGAAACTAGTCTGTACTTACAATGCATTGATTTGTAAACGAAATGCAGGTCAAGACAATTTAGAATCAGCAGATAAAGAAATAGATTTGAATGGGTTAACAGAAGACAAATCAGATTTAAATGAACAGTGTAACAATGTAACAGAGAGCACACACTGTAATTGTGAGAGATTGTCAGAAAAAGTCTGTGAACTAGAGGATAGAGTTGAACTAAGAAATGATCTTATTTGCCAGCTTAGAAATGAAGTTAAACTAGTGTGTGTTAATAAAAGAAAAATACAGGCACAGAATCTAATCCCAGAACCAACAGATACTGAAAATGTATCCTCACAGAATGACGTTGCTTTGTTCTTGGATAACTTAAGGAGGGTAACCAATAATGAAGGGGTTAAAACGACTTGTGGATTTAGGCAGAGAAAGAAGTGCAGATTTTACACCCCTCGTCCCCCTCCTCCTCCTTCTTCTAGGACTCAGTGTAAAAGAGTGATACAGACAGCTGAGCCACTCCCAATTTGCTCAAATAAAAGGCAGAATATAACTCCTAAAGTGATTTGTTTTTGGTGCAATAAACAACATTATTTAAGATCTTGCAGATATTTTATCCGAGATATCAAATCAAAAGCAAATGAGAAATTAAATTTGTTGATTGAAAATTTTGACAGAGAAAATACATGTGGAGATAAATCAATTAAAGCCTTTCCTTGTAAACTTATAATCAGACAAATAAAAGCAATTTTAGCTAAATCAAAATTAGGAGACAGACCAGCAATGCAGTGTAACACAGAAAGTTATAAGAATCAGATAACTTCAATAGATATGATCAGTTTAGGGAATGAGCATGGATATGTCTGCCAACAGATGTACACAGGCTGATTCCAAAATTAAGAACAGCACACAAGAATAGAGATCTATGTTAGTTTGTTGTTTTACTGAATTGTTAGTCTGAATTGTTTTTTCACTGTTTTTATGTGTGTTATAAGAAAGTATTAGGTTAATTAAAATAAAAATACACATCAAGTTTGCAAATATGGTAGAATGAAATACACTAATGTAGCAGTTAGGAACATGCCATGCAATGTTATATTGGGTGTGTGCGATTATACAGTAACTCCAATCATTTTACAGAAGGAAAAAACAATGTTGTTACTTCTGAGGTTGATTTAAAATCTTTGATTTAATTCATGAGAATGAGATTTTAATGTCATGACTGATAATGGATTACTAATTTTGCAAAGCCTGGACATACATATGTTTTGATTATATAGAAGACAAAAGTTTTGATAGAATAAAACCTAGATTTACAAATACATTTGATGAAGGAAACAATATATGTTTTTTGTAGTTTGTTTCATGTGACAAAATGGTGCCAGTGTTAAGACAAGATGGCTGCTATTGCTAAAGTATAGTGGAAAACAATATTTTGTTGTAACATCTTATATGTGATTAGGTTATACCTCCAGATTATTAAACAGTTTAAAGGGGGGTATGATTAATAAGGTATGATTAATAAAAAGTTTGGCGAATTTAAATGTTCAGAAAGATTTTAATATAAGGAAATTTAAAGATTATACATCACATGGCATAAATGTAATGACTAGATGGTAGATCTCATGAGAAGAAATGAGTATGTTTTGTGTAGTCAATATAATTCAATGTTAAACCGTATAATAATGAGATATAAACATTGTAAGCCATTGTATTGGTGCTGCACATGTTTTAATGTAGGTAAAGCGTGACAGATCCTTGTGGCAATAAATCAGGAAAGCATTCCTTCAGACAACTGGACATCAACTGTTGGAAAATACTTTTCATATGATCAGCAAACTGTGATGGAAGATTCTACAGAGTTCATTTGCTACAGAAGATTAACAGACTTACAAAGAAATAAAAGATTGACACTAACATACATATATATATTCCTAAATATTAACAAAGAAGAAAAGAGACAATGAAAAGTTATTAAACAGTTATGAGTGTATTAATACCAAAAGAGAGTACTATAAATGTGTATGAAAGGATGGTATTATGAAAAGAACTATTACATTAGGACCTATACATATAATGAGAAGTATCAGAGGTAGATAAAATATGAAGTTGATAAAATAAGGATCATGGTTACTTAATACTACAAAGATTGAGTTCAATAGTATTTCATAGATTAACTATAGTGAGTAATTTGTTTATATCGAGGTGAAGTAAAACAAACAATGGTAACATAAGGAAGAAAACTAAGGAAGGATAATTTATATTGAGTAATATTAAGTAATGGTATACATTAAGAAGGCCTTGGATATGAGAGTTCAGAGATCCAAGAGGAATTGAATTGAAGTTTAGTTAAGAGTATAGTACATAATTATATTTGACCTAAGTCTATAAAAGGTATGGACTAGGGAGAATAAGTTTTTGGATATGGTGATTTCCAATGAATACATTGTTTTATGATTACCCTGAGTTTGTTAGACACAGACTAGGAATAAGAGTTTCTGGGCAGTATGACCCCAAGTTTTGTTTATTTTATTTTAGTCAGTTGAAGTGTACTAAGGAATACGGATTGGTCAGAACATTAGGACAATCCTGCTTTTAAGATGTATTACATTAATAAGTCATCACAATGCTAATGAAGAGAGTGATGCTAATGAATTTAAATTATTCTTTCCAAGTTCTTTTAAAGTAAACCATTCTCTGATTCAATGAAAAATTTGTTACTACAAGGTGGAATTTTAGTGAAAATTATAATTATGTAAACAAAAACAAATCTATGATAGAAAGATTTCTGGGTGGAGAATTTCTAGAACAATAAGTATTGTTAACACCATGAACATTATTTGAAGAATTATTATAGAACTTCATGGTTGATAACACATCCTTTGAATGAGTCTTATAAGTAGTGTTGATATATTTTAGGTAGTGAGAGCCTACTGAATATACAAATTAAATACTATGATTGTAAAGTACTGATACAATCATCACTAGGTGGTATTAATGGTATAGGAATGTAATTCATGAATACAAATGATAAAGATTTTAAGGTTGCTAGAATATAATTGGACGTATATTATAGTAATATATTAGTACTTAAGTAATATCAGGTATTGAGAATGAAAATACTATACTATATATGTCTGTAGGAATATGATAGTGATACACAGTTATTATTTAGAAAGTTATCATCTTGATTTTGTTATCTACAAAGACATGACTGTACCAGAGCAGGTAGATCTTTCTGATTGCTTTATTGTTTATTGGATCAACATTTGTAAATATTTTATTTTATTCATTTATTATTGTTATATATATGTATATATTATGTTCAAGTAGTTATGATGTAACATGGATATGGACAGGGCCGGACTGGGAAAAAAATTCAGCCCGGGCATTTTTTTATCACAGCGGCCCACTAAGAAGGGGGCGGGGCAGAGAGGGTGTGTTTTGTCATCACTCATGACATACATGCCCCCTCTCAAAGTGAGCATGTTGGTTCAATGCTCTTCCAGGGCAGACCATGCGCAGAGCTCTGCTGAAGAGCTCTAGCATGAGAAAAAAGCCCTGTATTTGTTCTGCACAGTGCAAGCAAATTTAATAACATGCTTGCACTGTTTCCTTGCAACTTGCCTCTGGTGTCTCTATAAATGGATACCAGGAGACAAAAGGGCCAGGAAAGGGTATTGTGCATGTGTTTGGAGCCTGTTTGTGGTATTACGTTTGTGCAGAGTGAGCTGGTCATGGTGTGGTATTGTGTAATAAGGTCTGTTTTAGTCGTGTTGTGTTTGTGGTGTAATGTAATGCATATGTGGCTAGGGGCTGTAGAGAATGTGTGTATAGGGGATGTAGCAAGTGTGTGCATACAGGCTATAGTGTGTGTGTGTATAGGTGATTTAGTGTTTGTAGAGAGTGTGTGTTCAGGGAATGTGGTATGTGTTTGCTTACAAGGAATCTAGTGTGCATATAGGGGATCCAGAGTGTGTGTGTGTATATGATCCAGAGTTGGCTAAAGGATCTAGTGTGTGTCTGGAATGTAATGTGTTTAGGGGTGCAGTGTGTGTGTGAGGGGTGTTGTGTGTATGTGTATATATATATATATATAGTTTATATAAATATGTTTGGAAGTATTGTGTATGTGTGTGATGCAGTGTATTGGGGGGTTGTGTGTATGTGAGGGGTTCAGTATGTGTGTGAGGGTGCTGTGTGTGTGAGGGTGCTGTGTATGATGTGTGTGAGAGTGTTGTGTGTGTGATGTGTGTGAGTGCTGAGTGTGATAGTGCTGTGTATGATGTGTGATGTGTGTGAGAGTGATGTGTGTGAGTGCTGTGTGTGAGTGTTGTGTGTTATGTGTGTGAGTGCTGAGTGTGATAGTGCTGTGTATGAGTGTTGAGTGTGATAGTGCTGTGTATGATGTGTGTGAGTGCTGAGTGTGATGTGTGTGAGAGTGATGTGCCTGAGTGCTGTGTGTGAGTGCTGAGTGTGATGTGTGTGAGAGTGATGTGCCTGAGTGCTGTGTGTGAGAGTGTTGTGTGATGTGTGTGAGAGTGCTGAGTGTGAGAGTGCTGAGTGTGAGAGTGCTGAGTGTGAGAGTGCTGAGTGTGAGAGTGCTGAGTGTGAGAGTGCTGAGTGTGAAAGTGCTGTGTGTGAAAGTGCTATGATGTGTGTGAGAGTGCTGCGATGTGTGAGATTGCTGTGTATGATGTGTGTGAGAGTGCTATGATGTGTGTGAGAGTGCTATGATGTGTTTGAGAGTGATGTGTGAGAGTGCTGTGTGTGAGTGTTGTGTGTTATGTGTGTGAGTGCTGAGTGTGATAGTGCTGTGTATGAGTGTTGAGTGTGATAGTGCTGTGTATGATGTGTGTGAGTGCTGAGTGTGATGTGTGTGAGAGTGATGTGCCTGAGTGCTGAGTGCTGTGTGTGAGAGTGTTGTGTGATGTGTGTGAGAG